AAGGAGGGAGTCGCCTACTACCAAGACCTGTTTACTTTCGGGAATGACAGGGCCCCTTTTGTGCAATGTAGTTTGTAGGTCTCCAGAAAAGGGATCGTGTTGGTGTGAATTGTGTAGGTGAAAAGTGTTGTCCTCCTCCTCGACATCCCCGGTGCATTCGTCAAGGACAATCCATTGAGATTCGTCCAAGAGCCTATGGTTCTCCTGTATGTGTTCCTGTTACTCCTGGTCTATGGTTGGGGATGGTACATCTGCACGATTGTGCAAGTGTGAATGCTGTGAAGTGTTGTCCCAGTCAGGGCTATCTCCTGCACACTGATCAAGGATGAGCCACTGATCAGTATCTAAGCCATTCTGGTCTTCCTCAATATGTTGTGTTTCTTGGTCAGGTGATAGTTGTGTGAGAATTTGGAATCTATTGTGTAACTGCAGCTGAGCGTAAGTATTCTGAGGAGGCTTCCGGGTCCTATGTGTCCTTCTAAGGGTGACATTTCTCCAAGCCTGAGGGTTGTCCACATCTGAGTTACTGTGTCTATTGAGCCTCCCCGTAATGTTGGTGTGATATGGGCTGCGTGTCTAGAACAGTGTGGTGTGTGGTGTCTAAGAACAGCTCAAGTTCCTGAATGTCCTTAAGGGTCTTAATACGGTCCTCGAGTTGTCGGATCCTGTGTTCCATGCGAGTGATCTGTTTACACTTGGGGCAGATGTAATTGAGTAATTGTAGTGTGAAAAAGCTGAACATGCCACAGCTTGTGCATGAGACGGGAAGTTTTCGTGTTTGTTCCATCTGGAGGTTGCTAATTACCTCCTCTTGGTGTGTGTTTTATGTTGTTGTCTGTATGCAGGGGTGAAAGTATAGGTTACTGAGTGTACGAGTAAAAAGTATAAAAAAAGTATAGGTTACTGAGTGTATGACACTGGTTTATATAGGATAACCAGGAAGCCCCGCCTCTCAAACAAAGCAGTTAATTTTTAAACTCAGGAAGCCCCGCCTCTCAAACAAAGCAGTTAATTTTTAAACTCAGGAAGCCCCGCCTCTCAAACAAAGTAGTTAATTTTTAAACTCAGGAAGCCCCGCCTCTCAAACAAAGTAGTTAATTTTTAAAGTCAGGAAGCCCCGCCTCTCAACCAAATGATGATGATGATGTCAAGGTGAGATGATGATGTCAAGGTGATGCATGCCATATGCCAGCAAATATGGAAAACACAAGAATGGCCATCGGACTGGAAAAAATCAACTTATATTCCCATACCAAAAAAGGGAAATGCAAAAGATCATAATAAATTGTGGCAAGTTTTTGGTGGGATGGGCATACCAAGCCACCTTGTCTCTCTCCTGAGGAATCTGTACAAGGACCAAGTAGCAACAGTAAGAACTGACCACGGAATAACAGACTGGTTCAAGACTGGGAAAGGCGTACGGCAAGGCTGCATACTCTCACCCAACCTTTTAAACTTGTACGCAGAACACATCATGCGATGTGCGGGGCTTGATGAATGCAAAGCTGGGGTGAAAATTGCTGGA